TGGCGGTGCATTGGATCGGTTTGATTCGCTGCTGGTGGCTACACCTTTTGCATTTGCCTATGCCTTTTATTTTATGCAGTAAAATAAGGATCGCTGACAACGCAGGATTAAAAAAATCCTGCGTAACCTGGGTTGGAATTTGTAATTCCATGTCGTTTAGTTAGTGAGTTGGTTGTTTCAAAAGCCGTCAGGGGACGGCACCCCGCCCAAGCGAAGTCAGGGGACTTCGCTTAACGCTATTCTTAACTAAACGACGTTGGTTTGGAAATCCATTTATCATGCGTGCAATGTTATCAATGGCATCCACCTCAAACAACAACGTTACCGGCATAGTAGAAGGCACCGCCTGCTAAACAGAGAACTCGTTTCTACACATCAATCCAGCAGTTCTTTATTATCATCTCCGGGCAAGGCGGTCCAGTTCATGCTTTCCATTCCGGAGATACCTTCCACGCTGCCGGAAATCTGCAATGAGTTGGCAATGATCACATCCAGCAGCTTTTGTTTTTTCTTCCATGCTTTTTCAAAGTCGTCCCGTTCTTTTTGCAGGGTATTACGGAACGACTGGAAGCTTTCGCGCATAGCATTCCACTGCCCCATAAATTCGGTGCTGGTCAGGTAGTCATAGAGCATCACCATTTTATCTCCTTTGTTCTCCTGGCTTTTGCGGGCTTCATAAACTTTCAGGATTCCCTGCCGCAATACACCGATCAGGTGTTTCAGCTCCGGCATGGTACAGATGTAAATACCATCTTTCTGCCCAAACCCATCCATATCCTTTGGCATCACCTGGGTGACCAGTATGGCGAGATCTGCATTTTTGGTAGCCATATCATTCTTCAGCTTATTCAGCCACTCTTGTGAAAACTCTTTTGCCCGCTTGCTTTCCAGCAGAATGGAACCGCACTCCTGGCCAAAGGCATTGCGGATGGTGATATGGCAGTCGGCACCAAAGGCGCCTTTTTTAATTTCGCGGATCACATCAATCGGGTACGACTGGCGTAACA